CTACAATAACTACTGAGGTGTCTAGGGTATCTATGCTGAGCAGGGCTTCCCTTGCTACCTGCAGCAAACCTCTGCAATCCCCAGGCCTCAGCTTCCTCATCTCTCACCTACACTTTGGGCCCTTAAGGAATTCTTTGAAGGTAAACGTGTCCCCACATCCCCCAAGGAACTATATGGACAATAATGATTCCATATTTCAATTCCTTTACCAGACAGAACCCAATATATTTAATGTGACTGCTGTGATAATGGAATATCCCAAATGTCTCCAGGGGGTCCCTAGCTGCAGAAGAGTAGAAAGAGACAGGTTTAGAGACAGACAGGTTTGAACTTCAGTACTTGTGTAACCTTAGATGTGTTATTTAAACTGTCTAAGCCTCTGTTTCCTTTTTTTAGAGACAGAGTCTCACTTTGTTGCCCTCAGTAGAGTGCCGTGGCATCACAGCTCATAGCAACCTCCAGCTCTTGGGCTTAAGCAATTCTCTTGCCTCAGCCTCCCGAGTAGCTGGGACTACAGGTGCCTGTCACAATGCCCGGCTATTTTTTGTTGCAGTTTGGCCAGGGCTGGGTTTAAACCCACCACCCTTGGTATATGGGGCCGGCGCCCTACTCACTGAGCCACAGGTGCCGCCCTGAGCCTCTATTTCTTCATCTGTAACACAGGATCATTAATTCCAACATGAAGATTGACTGAGATTTGGGAAATACCTAGCCCAGTGCTTGGTCAAGAGTAAGGCCTTTTTAGGTGGGAGTTACTATTTTAATATTATTATTTATTTAGCACCATATGCGCTTAGCACATAGCATTCAATTAATATTTGTTGAGTCGATTAATGAATGAAAAATCACATCCCTGCATTTATTATTCCAGCCAAAACTTTCAGTAAAACCCAGCCAGGATCTTTAGCCCATTCCTATTCTCTCTTTTAAGACAAACAGAGAACGGACATTTACTCCTTCTCTACTTTCTTTTTCTTCTTCCACTTCCTCCAATAAGTCTACCTCTTTCAGAACAGGTCAAACCAGAAGAAAGCACTTTAAAACAATTGCCAAGCATGTTATTGGAGACCCCGGTCTTTCTTGTTGTTGTTGTTGCAGTTTGGTTGAGGCCAGGTTCAGACCCACCACCCTCAGTATATGGGGCTGGCATCCTACCCACTGAGCCACAGGCGCTGCCCCAGAGACTCTGGTCTTACATGGGCCATGAATCCATCTACCCATCACATTTATGGAGCTACAGTGATACCTTTGCACACATCATGTGCCAGGCCCTTGTGTCAGGGAATAACACTCCCACGGAGTTCAGAGTCTAGTGGGAAAGTACCGTAATAATTAGATACAACATGGCAAGTGCTGGAACAGAAGCATGTGTGGGGGAATGGGAAAACGGTAGGAAAAAGAGGAATTCTCCTGGGATGGACATGATAACACTGGGAATAGACTTTGCAGAGGAAGAGCCATTTAAGCCAATGGTGATGGAGAAGGAAGAAAGGGAAGGGTCGGGGGAGAGTTAGGAGAAGTTGGAGTTGTTTTCCAGGCAGAGCAGATGGAATGGGCGGAAGACCACCACAGGCAGAATAAGAGGAAGGGGTAAGTCCTGGAGCAATCCTGGTATATTTGGGTCACAATGACCAGTTCAGTGTAGCCAAAATACAAGGCAGAGGAAGCAGTAACTAGTGGCAGACTGGAAAGAGTCTTGTGTTCACTCAGCTAACAAATACTTAATTGGGTATGGAAGACAGTGTTTTTAACCTTTTATCTCACAGCACACTTGTACCTGTAGTTAAACTTCCACACACGCTTAAATTATGCTGATCAAAAGACAGAGTAAAAAGAAGAATATACTCACCGTGCTTTGAACTTCTTTCAAAAATAAGTAAGTGAGTGATCTTTAAAAATGTTTGTGGCACACCTAAGATCCTCTCTCTGCATACCAGCGAGCGTGTGTGGCACACGGGTTGAAAATCACTGATCTAAGGTGTTGGGGCAAAGGTAACGTTTATCAACGCCTGAGAATTTTTCTGAATAGGACTGAAGGTAACTACAAGAGAACGTCATCTTCATATACTGTTGAAGGTGCTTTTGCTTCCCAGTGGTGAAGGGAGCTTACGGGTGCTCAGGAAAGAGAACACTGGAACAGGAGTCAAGGTCATTGATCTCTAGAGCCAGCTGCTACCACCTTGGCCAAACTACCGCCCTCTTTGGGCTGGTTTCATCATTTGCAAGATGAGCAGGTTGAAGAACAGCTCCTTACAGCCTCTTATGGATCTAAGATAGTAAGACGACCACCTCTGATCTCTGTAAGTAACAGAGGGCTGCAGGGATGGGGTGGGGGCTTCTCAGGATATTTATTAACTGAAAGCTTCACAGTCATCACTCAGAGGACCAGAGGGAGAATAACAAAATCAAAAAACATTTTCAGAAGATGGATGATGGAAGAGGCTGACATATGTGCAAGAGTTTGGGGAATTTATGCAGCCAGCCTCGCAGCCATAAATAAAATCCCTTTCTCTTACCCAAAATCTCATTCAGGGGGTAAACACCAAACACCGTAATAGACAATTTGGCTGTATCTCGTGCCCCCTGCCTCACTTGAATGAAAAACAGCCAGCACAAAGCAGGGTAATGGGTTCGACCGCCTCCTTCCAAACATCCATATTGTCATGGACAGACAAGGCGGAGGAAATGGGGCAATTTATCTCTGCGATTCCTGGGCCCTTCCTACAGCCCCGCTCTGACAGCCATCCATTCCGAGGCTGGGTGTGGAGGAGACACCCAGAAAACCCCAAAGGCAGGGAGAAGTGACCCCTGGGAAGGTGGAAGGAGTAGCAGCCCCTCCCTTTCCCATAAGCCTCTCAAAGACTTGGGAGACCCCAGCCCCACCAGTGCTGGCCCAGCCCACCTGGGCGCAAGGCTGCCTGCTGCTAAGCACAGCTCCTGTGTTTCTTGACCTACTTCTCTCCCCATCCCTGCCCTACTCCGCATCCCCTCTGGAGTCCATCTAATTAACACCTTTCCATCCGTAAAGACTTTTAAAGGCTCCAGCATGTAGGATAACCGAGGAAGACAGGGAAATGGGTCTTGGCATTGCCGTTTGCTTTTTCTTTTCTTTTCCCTCTCTTTGTTAGTTTAATGCTGCTTCCTGGCCTCCACTGAAGATTAGGCCCTTTTTGACAGTGCCAGCCAGCAGGGCCGCTGGCAGGAAATCGGCTGGAAGTGGCCTGGCGTGAACCAAAACCGAGGCCAGCAGAGTTTTGACGATGCCGGACAAGCACTGTTCAGAGTGTGGGTTGAGGAGCATGAGGGGTCCCTTTGAAGCCCTGTTGTTGGTGTAGCAGCCAAAAGAGGGATCTGCTCAGCTCCGCTTCCCTCCCAAGAATAAGTGTCAGGTGAGGTGCTGCTGATTCTGGCTCAATCCCTTTCTGTTCTCCATTAGTGACAAATGGAAATTGATGGGTTACCACTTTATCCGCTCATTTAGAGGAGGACCAAACCTCACAGCAAATGCTGAATAACTGCAGGCATCTTATAAATTAAACATCTTAAGGATATGAACCGTTTTGCATTGCCACTAAGCAGAATTAAATTAGGTTTTGATGTTTCTGTAGAAATGAATGGAAAAGGGGGAGGGAATATTTTGTTTTTAATTCCCTTTTTTAAAGCATGCAGAGCAGTGCATCGAGGGCAGGGTGAGGGGGAGAATTGAGTCTCCTGTCCACATTTCTGATTCTGATCAGCTGCCTCTGCATATGCACAGAAAAAAGTGCCCACAGGTAACAGGCAGCAGCTCACGGACCTGCAGGCTCGGCCTCTGGCATGTGATGCCCGGCCTGGCCAGGGTCTCAGAGGCTGGCCTGCCTCTGCCCACACCGCTTCTCCTGATCACCACCCACATGCCAACCTGACTGCAGCTGGAGGAATTCAGGAGCTTTAAGTCAATTCCCTGGACTCGGCCTCAAACCATCTTTGTTCTAAGTCGTCTGCCTTTTAGATTCAGGGTTAGGATCTAGGATCCTGGCTTTGCTTGCACCCTAGCCCCAGTCTGGGAAAAGGGGCCTATGTGGTTATCAGTCTAGAAAACTTGCCTTGGATCTGGGTTCAGATCCCTCTAAGACTGCCACTTAACCTTGCCTCTGGGGTCCTCCTGTCAGATGGGTTTTCTTACGGCCAACAACCTACTTGCCTATGTTCAGCACTGCTGTGTCAGGCAGCCATCTACACTGTCCCCTATCCCCACACACATTTCTTCTCCAACATCCCACATCTGTCCTGACTCCATGGAGACAGATTCTCTATGGCTGAGCCAGATAACCACACTGTGCCTGCCAGACTAGACTGTGTCCCCATCCCTGTAACTGGGGTTGTGTCCCTCGGACCCAGGAGCTAGAGTGCCTTGACCTGCAGCTGATGAGCCTTGTTCCGCCCTGGCAGGAGAAGAGACATCAATTTCCAGAGCCTTCTCCTCCAGGATGTGCATGCGGATGGCACTGAAGGCAGCTCTGTCTGCCCGTTACCTAGAGTGGGTGTCCACACTGCAACAGGGACAAGGGAGACTCTACAGTGACCCTGCCATCCCTCTCAGAGGCAGGCCACAGCAAGCAAAGATTAGACTTTGTAGTTAAGGGCCCTTCTAAGCAGCCAGGCCAGGGTAACCCAGCAGACTTCTGGCTTCATCCAAACTGGACACAGCACGCTTTGCAGGAAGCCTTCTTAGACTGATCAGAGGAGAAGAGAAGTGATCTCTTATCTGCAGACCTGGACGTGGCATCCCCGGACGTGGCATCCCCATGGCCACGCTCACTCTCCTTCACTAACATGCTAGGCAGAGTCCATCACAAACCACACCACACAGCTGCATCTTCATTCTAGTCACCAGGGAGCTCAGCAGCTGACCAAATCAGAGCCTGTCGGTTGGCCCACCACCACCACCTTTGCCCCAGCCAAACTTGGGAGGGCCCAGTGCACGGTCTGGGCACCATCCAGGGCTGGGCCGCACTTACCGATCCTCAGGGAGTGCGGGCTGCAGGCGACCATCACGAGCCACGCAGGAAGCAGCGCCAAAGGCGCCGAGACGCGGGGCATCTTCCATAAATCCTCATGGAGCCCTCTGCTGGTCTGGGCATGACATAACTCTGTGAGAGAGCGGTGGAGCACGTGAGTCCTGCACCCCCAGCCAGGCAGCCACCCCATCCCCGTGACCCACGTTGCCAAGAGCACCCCCAGGAACTCTGTGGGGAGGGCCACCATCCCTCCAGGAGGACTTCCAGGCAAAGCCATAGAGTTGGAGGGGCCCCTGTGTCTCTCCTCCCTCCGCAAAAAGGCCCATGTTCCAATTTTCACCCCTAATCAACAAGGGGGCAGGCTGCAATGACTGTGGTTGGCTGATTCTTGGCACCTCATTGGAAATGAAGACCTTCATCTGCCCTTAGAGACCTGGAGCCGTGGGTCAGCAGAAGGGCGGGGGGATAATCGTCCCACTGTCCCGAATAGCCCATGTGGCATACTGGGGCAGTGTGGGTTGGGCCCATCTCCTCGCTTGCCAGCTATGTAGTTGTCATGAGGCTCTCTCTTTATCTCAGCTCAGGTTCCTCATATATAAAAGTGGCACAACAAGCCCTCCCAGTGGGGCTGAACTTAGGACTACCCAAGGTAACACAGGAGAAACTGCCACACCCAGGTTTCTAAACAAGGGGCCACAAAGGTCAGGCCCTCCCAGGCCCAGACAGGAGAGGTTTATTTGCAGCAAATACTGAGGGCAGAAGCACATAGCCCAGGGCATCAGCTGGTCTCCATGTCTGCTCTGCTGCTTGTTGAAAACTGCTAAGCCCCACCCCATCCTTCCTCTATCAGCCCCTCTCCCCCTTCCTGAGGAGGGTGGGCCCCTTATGTCAAAGCCAGAACTTTGGAGGGGGCTGCCTCTCCTCAAGGTGGCACAGGCATTGTCCCCACACTGTGACCTTTCAGACATGCAGACCCAGAGTCTGTAGGTGGCCACAGCCTTCCCATCACTGGGGTGGGGGTGGGGCTGGTGAGCATCTGGATAAGCTAAGCCCGGGTGCCCTTGGTTAGGACAGCAGCATTGTTTGCTCCAGCCACCCCCTAGCCAGACAACCCAACAGGAAAATGGGCAAAAGACTCGAACAGACAATTCTCTAAAAAACACATCCTATGGCCTCCATACATGTGGAAAGGTGCTCAGCATTGGGCATCAGGAAAATCCAACTGGAGGCTTGGCACCCATAGCACAGTGGTTACGGCGCCAACCACATACACTGAGGGTGGTGGGTTCGAACACAGCGTGGACCAGCTAAACAACAATGACAACTACAACAAAAAATAGCCAGGCGTTGTAGCAGGTGCCTGTAGTCCCAGCTACTTGGGAGACTGAGGCAAGAGAATCGCTTACCAACTGGAAACCACAATAATATATTGCTATAATCCCACCAGGATGACTTAAAAAAAAAAAGATAACATCAAGTATTAGGATGTGAAACAACTAGAGCGCTCATAGGGTGTTAGTGGAAACATAAATTGATACAACTGCTTTGGAAAACTGGTCTGCTATAGTTTTACACGCCCCTAGTGACCTAGTAACTCCACTCCCAGGTGGGTAGCATACACCCCCCAGAAAGGCTTGTATGTGCTCACTGAAGATGGACTGGAATGTTTTTGGCAACACTGTTTGGGTTTCCCCAAACTTGAAACTACTCAAATATCCAACAGCAGCATGGAGAAATACAGTGCATATTTGCACAATGGAATGTTATACAGATATGAAAATGAATAATTGACAATTCCTTGCAATTGCATAGCGGGAATATCATAAATATTGAGGAAAAAAATCCAGGCACCCATAGTGTCATTCTATCTACATAAAGTGCAAAAACAGACAAGACTTTTCTGGGCTGTTAGAAGTCCAGTTAGAGGCTAATGGTTGAGGTAGCAGTGGGCAGAAGACCACAGTGCTTCTGTCTGGGTGCTGGTGGCCCAGGTGCATTCAGGTTGTGAAAACTCACTGAGCTGTGTATTTATGCTATGCACACTTTTCCTGAAGTGTGTTATGTTGTTCAGGGGCACCCTTGCATGCCCCCCTCCACAGGTTCAGTGTTCCAGCCACATCCAGCATCTTGCATTTCCCACGCACACGCTGCTTTCTCTGTCTGAAACGTGGTCCTCTGCTCACCCCTGCCACAGGCCAGGATTAGGCCCTCTCTGCAAGCTGCCATGGCAGCCTAGCACGGCTGATAGTAGCCCTTTCCCCTCTTTTGCTGTTTACTTTATGCGTCTACATCTGGGATCCGTGTGGGTTTCTTAAGGGCAAGGACTGTTTTGAGTCTCCTGTCCTATCCCCAGAGTCCACTTATACATAATAGGTGCACAGCACATATTTGTTCAATGAATGGAAAGCCGCAAGCAATTGCCTGTTGGAGGGAGACAGAGGAAAATAAAGGGTAAAGGATTGGGGTAAAGGCAACTCTGCTGTCGGCAAATCAGGCCCAGAATCTTTGTTCTTTAATTCATGGGTGTTGGTGCAGGGATAGATTAAAGCAAACACAGTCTCAAGGGAAGCGAGACATTCTTACTCATTATAGATAAAGTTGATTATTCAGTGATTTCCTGTCTCCCCACTAGAATTTAAGCTCAATAGAGGTGGGGCAGGGGCAGAAATCTTGCTTGGCTTTATCCCCAGGGCCTAGAACAGTGCTTGGTGCATGCTATGATCTCAATAAATATTTGTTGAGTTTATATGAATGATCTGTGAAAGAGCAAAGAACTTGAAAAATCTGGTTAGGCTATATAAAAGTAATACTAAATACAATCATCAAATGTCTTCCCCTTATGCCCAATCAGCATGCTGTAAAATAATTATCATGCAGACTGCTAACTAGGTGTCAGATTAGCCTGTATAAATTTTATTTGATGACAAAACTATACTCAGTTTGCAGAGGCATGACTTTTATTATCCACAGCCTAGAAGCTTGGCTGATTCTGGAGACCATAGTTAAGGACGACAATGGCTCAGGTCCCGGGATGCTCTTGGGCCTCAGCTATGTGCCCCTGGGCATTAGCGAGAAGTAATCTCTTCCCAAACCTTAGGAGAACAGATAGAACCACCACGTTGCATGTGTCTAAGGTTTAGCAGTTTGCAAAGTTCTTTCCCCAGTCTTTATCATGTTTCAAGCTCTATTACAGATGGGGGAGCTGCACCCAAGGAAAGAGATGTACCTAGTTGAAGGTCACACAGCTGTCCAGAGGCAGAGCCAGAGCTAGTCAGGTCCCTGACTCCAGTGGCTTTTCTTTTATATCTGAATTAACTGTTATAAAGCAGAAATACGAAGCTTTTAGATGCTTCATCAAAAAATGCAAAGAAATTTGAGGTCTTACTTTCCTGTTAATGTTAAGATGAATCCAGTCTTAGGATCTAACAGTGTGGCCTTCATCAGCTGAAAATATTTTAATAATTTAAAGGTAAAAAAGAAAATTATCCAGGAAATATAGCACCAAGATGCTCTTTCTATTAACATTACCCCCTGATGGGGGGTGGTCACCTCCTCCCATGGTTTATTAGCACCTGAATGCTGGGGCCTCTAAATCAGTATCTCAAGCCCAGGACAATGGTACTTACACACCTGTCTCCCGAATCCCCACCTGTATGTCCCAGAGCACTTCCAACACACCTTGTTCTAAAGAGAAGACCTCATCTCCACCATACCCACCATCTGCTTCTCCTTCTTAGTAGGTGGAATCACAATCCACCAGTCACCCAAGCCAGAAAGCTGAGACTCTGCCTAGATTTCTCCATCCCCACACTCCCACATCTAGTCAGTCATCAAATTCTGACAGCTCTGCCTCTTAAACACCACACCCTTCTCTCTCCACCGCCACCAGCTGTCCGAGTGCAGACATTTGTCAGAATGTCGAGCCCAGACCTATGGGACAGCATCCTTAGAGGTCTCTGTCCTCTGGTCTTCCCCTCTTCAGTCAGTTCTCCACGCAGTGGCCAGGGGCTTCTTACTGAAACACAAACTTGATAATGGCCCTCTCCTGCTCCGAAGTCACAGGCAGTTCTCCACTGCATAGGGGATCAAGGGCAAACCCCTCACTCCAACAGACAAACCCTTGCATGATCTGGGCCCCAACTCACTGGCACCTGACACTTGGCAGAGCTGATGCCCCACTGCTCCAAACGTGCTGCGTCCTTTCACCATGCTCCCATGCCCTGCACGTGCAGTCCCATCCCTGATGGCCTGCAAACCATCTTCTCCAGGCTCACCTCATTATCGCCCCTCCCCAACTGCTGCCACTACCCCAGAACACCCCTCACTGGGGCCCACATCCTGCTATGACAACAATGACATCTGTCTCCCTGTAGAAGGTAAGCTTGGATGACAGAGAGTGTGCCAAGCACCTCGCACCCTACCTGGCACATAGTAGGTGCTCTGTTAATATTGACTGGATGTGAGTTAATGAACAGATGGTATCAAAAAGGCATTTTCTGACTTTACACCAACATAAAATCAATCCGCAGTTTGGCATGTACATTTTGTATATTTGCTGCAGTTAAAACTAATGACTTCAGCAGACATAATGCTGCAGATGCAGGCAAAGGGTAATCACAGCAATATGTATTGGCAAGGGGAGGGAAGCCAACATTTACTTCCTTTTTATTATATGCCTGGGTCTTGGGCTGGCAGTCACAGGTAAGGACGTGGATTTGGGTCCTACATTGCTAGGTACTAGCTCTACACCTCAGGCAAGGAGCTAGCTAACTTCTCTAAACCTTGATTTCTTCAGGTGTAATACGGGAATGATAATAGTTCCCTCATAGAATTGTTATGAGGGCGGAATGATGAGATGCTTGTGCAGAGCTGTTCACAGTAAGCACTCGATAAATTCCAACTCTTCATGACCGCTACATTCACCCCATAAGACAGCATTGCCTCTCACTTCACAACAGAGGAGGCTGAGACACAGAAAGGCTCAGTAATGTAACAGAGTTCATGCAACTAAAGCAGCAGAGCTGGGGTTCAGATCTAAGAGTGTCTGACCATGGGTGAGCACGAGCCCCACGCTCCTCCTTTGACTAGAGTTGACTATGGGAGGGCTGGCCAGATGTAAACTGAAAGCAGGTGTACAAGCCTGGCTTTGACTTCCAAGGGTCTCAGGCAGTGGCCACCTTAACAAAGTTGCTCTTCAGTGCTGCACTTTAGGTAAATTGGAAGACAGAGCCTCAAACATAGCATGTTCCCATGTAATTGAGGGCATTGTTCTAGATACCCATCAGTAACCTTGCCCATCACAATGCGTGCAGAGTTACCACCCAGCCTGGTTGTAGCCCAGCTGCACCTGGCTCTGGACCTTATTAAGTAAATGCTCTTGAGCAGCTACACCCCTTGGAGCCTGCAGCCTTGCCCATCAGTGACACGGGAATAACTGTGCCCACCTTCGGAGTGATGAGCACCAGGAGAGCAGAGAACAATGTGGACTTTTCCACCTGTGTCCCCAGTGCCTAACACGGGCTAGCACAGAGTAGGCACTCACAAAATATCTGTTGAAATAATGAAAGAATCCTATCAGAAAATATATGTGGAAAATGTTCCATCAGTTGTAAAGTATTTATTCTTGAGTGACAGCTGGTGCCCTTGGCCACGAGGACTTCATAATCCAGGTGCGATTCCCCCACCCTTGTAAACTCTCCTCCTTGATCATCCCTGCCCTTGCTATCCCTAGCTCATGGGAGCCTGAAACATACACTGTGAATGGAGCAGCAATCCTGGAGCTGACACTTCTGAGTGCTCACCTCTGCTTAAACATTTACCTGCCACGCCCACTCCCTCACCCTAACACCAAAACTCAGACGTCCCTACTGTTTCCAGAAGGGGAACCTAATTTTCGGTTTTTCCCAATCCTAAGACTGGTCAGCTTCCCCAAGCTAGAAAATCCTCTATTGTGTCTTTCACATCGAATGGTCTCTGGCCCCCTGTCCCATGCTCCTATTTTGAATGCAAGCCCCAGGAGGGTCTTATTTGAGGCTGAGCCTTCAGCACCATGGACAGTGCCTGGTGCGCGGCTGCTACAGATGTTGAAAGGGTGAATGGATGAATGGCCACTTAACTTTGCACTAAAGAGGGGCAGGGGAACATCTCTTTCAGGCATGTATCACCTGACACACTTGCTGTAGTGCTGATACCGAGTAATTTAGTCAATGTTTGCTGATTCATAAGCAGCAGCCAGTTCATAAGCACGGACAGCTCGCTGGATTCTGGCCATGCTTGTGCTGCCTGGACTCCCTCGGCCAGCTTGTGCTAAATGGCCTCTCCTCTCCTGATTTGTCAACAGTCCCTTTACTGGCCCCTCTCTCTCTTCTTCATAGTGCTATGCCATCATTAATTGTGATTTTCGGGGGTGGGTTGGGGAAGAGGCAGACAGTCACCAGACGGTATGTGGTGGCAGAAAGGACAGAGGACATCCGAGGGGCAGCAAGATTACTTACAGGTTTTCTCTCAGCTGTGGGCAACAAGATCTTGATTACTCCTGCTGATGCTCCAGGCTCCTTAAGACAAATGGATGTGGGCTTCTGCACTGTTCTCGGACTCCCCCTGGCTGAGAAAGATCCCAGCAGCAGCCAGCAGCTAGATTGAGTGTGCAGGGTGGTGAGGAAGGTGGAGCAGAGGGATTGGGCCTGCCCAGGACCTGTGGCCACTTGAGGAAAGGTTGATCTTTGTTTCTCTAATATAGTTGGGTATCACTTTGTAGGTATCCTATCTCCACGGCAACAAGTAGGAAGGTGCCCAGCTGCAGGACTGTCCTGGGAATCATGAACTTGGGTTCTCACTAGCACCAGCTCCAGGAATCAACTCTCAGAGCCTTAGTTTCTCATTCGGTAAAATGAAGGAATTAGACTAGATGATCTCTAAGGTTCCTAGAAACTGTGTTATTCTGCAGTTCAAAGAACTGAACTCTATGATAACATAATCTTTACTGCTTGTTTACTACTTGCAAAGTACTATTTCAGACTCATTTGCTCCTTGGAAAGACTCTGTGAAGTAGATACCCTATCTTTCACCTCACCAGCAGATACGGAACACAAGGACAGAGAGGCTGCATAACTTGCAGAGATCACCCAGAGGGTAAATGAAGGAACCAGGTCATCAGCTCCAAGGTCCTGTTCTCAAGCCACACCACTCTCTATATCCACCTTCTCTACGTGTCCCAGAACCTACCACACAGTTTGCACTTGAGGAAATGGTTCAGGGTGATGATGATGATTCTAATGGGGCTGGAGAACAAGCCAAGTTACACGCAAGTACATGTCGGGCCTACCTGCACATCCAGCCAAATCAGGGGAATGAGCAACAGAAGAATGTATCTGGGAGTGCCTTTTAGCAAAAAGGTCAGCCCAGGTGTCCTCAGCCTCTAGGAGATGTTCCGAGGCATTCGTGATGAGTTAGAATATGGTGGGTGAGGCAGAGGGGCATCAGCAGTAACAACTGGACCTGGCCTGACTCAGATCAGCTGATAAGCAGTGGCTGCACTGACAGCTCACCCTGTGACTGGAGGGGAGGACGCCCCCCGAGCACCACAACTGCAGATAACTAGTAGCAACCAGGCCATGGCCAGGACCAGCGCATTCCAAATTCTCAGACCCTAAAAGGAGCAATAGGAGGGAGTAACACCCAGTCTTTTCTCCTCCAAGCCACCTTCCATGGATTTCAGACTGAAGCACCTTTAAACGTCCCCTCACTAGAGGCCTGAGCAGCTGTCTCTGGCTTCACATCCTAATTGTCACTATGTGTCCTTAAGCTGGCTGTTTAACCTGTAAGAACTTTATTTCCACAATAGTAAAGCTACAGATGCCAACGCTTCCTTAGAAAGGGTGTCACAAGAGACCACAGGTATCATGACACTGGTATGTGGGAACAGCCTTTCTTCCATCTTGCTACCCCATTCAGTGCTTCCCTCTCCAGCCCTCATCCACAAAGCACCCTGGGCCATGTCCACATCTTCCCCAGACAAGGCAGCCTCTCACTCCTGCTTGCTGGTATTAATCCACAGCTTTCTCACCTCCAAAATGCTGCTCCAAATCACCCCTATCTCAGGAGCTTCCTGGGAAGAGGTGAGACCTCCTCCCCCACCCATCCTCATCCTGGCCACGGAGGAAAGTCAGTAGGTCGCAGGTGGACACCTGTGCAACCTTGGACCCATCACTTAGCCTCTGGGAGCTTCCATTTCTTCTGCTGTAACATGGGGAAATTACATTTACACCACCTACCTAATAGGGTTGCTAAGAGGATCCACAGAGGTGAGGCATGAGTGCAGTGCTTTCAAAGCAAAATGGTGTACACTGTTTCCACACCTAAGACTAGCACGTCCATATACTTAATACTCCTGCATGATTTACACTTCATTCAATGAACACTTCCATTGAGTGTCTACTATGTGGCAAAGACTTTTCCAGGCCCTGGGATACAGTCCCCACCCTCATGGAGCTTCCAGTCTGAGACATTGAGACATGAATCAGGTATCAGACAACTAGATGCCACAGTCACAGATGGTGAAGGAACAGTACAGGCTGCCACAGAGCATGGCTAAGAGGCCCCCATATGGCAGAGAGGGAGGGCTTCCCTCAGGATGAACGTCTGGCTGCAGCTGGCCAGGCCCTGTGAAAGGGGAAGCAGGGAGTGGGGAGAAAGAGATCAGGATGGAGAAGACAACACGTGAGGAGGGAGAGGCCTCTGATGGGACTCAGCGCAGGAGGGAGTCTGCTGAACCTGAAGGGAGAGCTTCTTCTCAATGTGCCTGTCCCCCTCTCTCTCTGCACCCCAAGGGCTAAGCCTAGGCCTACCATCCAAAGCTGACTTTCTCCACTAACCTGTCCTGGACCCAGCATCCTGTGCAGAAGAAGTGATGCGGCCACACCATCCACACCTCCTCTCCCCAGAAAAGGAGGCAGTTGGAGGTGAGAAGACAAAGAGTTAATCACAGCCAC